TTTTGCTCACCAAGGCTGCATTTATTTGATCCAAAGTACAGCAAAAACAGTAAAATGTTGAAATATTTTTACTATTTAAAATTTGTTTCTATTTGAATAGATTTTAAAATGTAATTTATTTCTGTGATGTGCAGCTGAATTTTCAGCATCATTACTCCAGTCTTCAGTGTCACATGATCTTCAGAAATCATTCTAATATGCTGATTTGCTGATTATCAATATTTAAAACAGTTGAGATCCAAAGATCAGCATTTATCTGAAATAAAAAGCTTTTGTAACATTATACACTATTCCATTCAGTATAATTTTTATTATTTTTTTGGGAAAGAAATTATATAAATTAATACTTTTATTTAGCAAGGATGCTTAAAATTGATCAAAAGTGATGATAAAGGCATTTATAATGTTACAAAAGATTTCTATTTCAGATAAATAGTGTTCATATCGATATCGGAATTATATCGTATCGACCGAAATTAAGAAATATATCGTGATATCAATTTTGGCCATATCGTCCAGCCCTATTAGATGGCATTAAAAGGATCACAGTGCAGACCCAACAACTAATAATTTGTTATTTTACATCTTTACCAATCTTTGTCACTGTCCTAAAGACCAAAAGGTTTTACCCATTTGGCAACAAGTTAAAAATATAATAAAATTTAGTATGATCACTTAGGGGTGGGTGATATGGGAAAAAATATCACGATTCTTTGTCATGTTGGTTTTGCTATTTTGCAAGTTGTCTGAGCATTACAGCTAAACTAATTTCCCTATTATAAAGACAAAGCCTTTCAAGGTAAAGAAAAAAAGAATGGCAGATATTTAGGCCAAAGTAGGTGAAGATAAAAAGTCTTTATCATTATTTTATCTTTGTTATTATAAAATAAGAATTTTATAAGATTATACCATAATTTACTCACTCACAAGTTGTTTTAAACCTGAATGAGTTAATTTCTTCTGGAAAATTAACGTGGAGAACCAAACAGCTGCTGGTCCACAGTGACTTAGTAATTTTTTTTTTCTACTATCAAATTCCGTGTGAACCAGCTACTGTTTGGTTACCCACATTCTTCAAAATATCTTCTTTTGTGTTCAGCACAAGAAAGAAGTGAATACAGGTTTGGGACAACATGTGAGTGAGTAAATAATGACAGAGAATTTTTTTTTAGGGTGAGCTATCCCTTTAATGACAGTCGGCAGCATGTTTAGTACTGTCCTTTAAGACCTGCACGCATCTAATATACAGGCACGTATCAGTTTTTCTCTTAACTGCTTTCTTTCATTTTAGACTTAACCAACTGAGCCTATATGTAAACCTTGTTTGTTTTGACAGTATTAGCGCAAAAGATAACTTAGTCGAGTAATCAGGCTCTGTTTGACAGGTTTTTTAGTTTGCGCGCTTCACGTGTACATGCTCAGAAAAAGCGCACGTCAGAACAGTACGTGAATAAAACATTTAACCGGCAAGGCTTTAAAGCACATGCAAATAATGTACTTTTGTGATTGCGAATAAGTGCAGTGTCCCGTGAGAGTAACTCTACCGCTGAGTTAACACTGATGTGAATGTATGTGGTGTTGTACAGTATATTGAGACGGAGGCACCAGAACTGCAGAAGATAGAATGTGCGCTGTAGCGCGATACTACGATATTTCTTCTAAAGCAGATCATGGAGACATTTTTATCGTCGTATTGCACACCCCTATGATCACTTATTCTTTAATGTATTTTATTAAGTGCAGGTCAGAATAAGTATGTTTCATTTTTACACATATCTGTTACACTGAATGACAAAATAACATTATCTCACCCATATTTTGACCATTCACAAAAATGTATTTGAAACATTAAACACTTTACTTGCATTTAAGATGTTTTACATAAAAAAAATAAAATAAAAAAAAACACTTTTGTGAATTTAATTTGATGTGAACACTAAAATTGGACATATCACCTTTGACCCTTATACTAAATGTGTTTAGGCTCCAGTTTTTCATAACATAATAAACTATATATTCACTGCTTCGTCCTACTTTATAGAAAAATGGTTAATTTTAATAAGAGTCTTAACTCCGTCCGTCAGAAAATTTAGCTACATTTTATTCTGTAAAAATTTACCATTTTTAACAATGTTACTGTTTTTAATGAAAATAAATTTATATCTGGAATGGATTCTACTGTCAACTCAAGCTACTGTCAAATGTGCAATTCCAAGAGACAAAACATGTAATATTATCAATTATTAATGTTATTTTTATTATTAATAAATATTACTTTTTCAGTGTTACCAAATAAGGTACTAGAGGTCTGTAGAGCTTGGCACAAGTGCCACTGCTCTCAAATGTTAGTCTGGAGCCCTGTATAGGTCTGTCCTGTGTTTCAGGATCATTACGTACAGAGCCGAGGTTAGGCTTCTGTGTGACTGCTAATGAGTTTTTCTTCAAGCCATTTGTTGTCCATAGTAAAGAGTGTTGTTTGAGGATAAGGTTTTCTTGCTCTCGTTTTCCTTATTCATACATACTTCATAAATGCACACAATCAAGTCCGCTTTTGTTCGCAGCCGCACATTTATTCAGCAAACAAACTGTCGCTTGCTCACTGTAATCATATTTTAAGAGTCACCTCAGCATACAGCCTGACCTCTTTCTCTAAAAGCTTGTTATTTACAAAAGGCAAACACAGGTCTCAAAAGACGCTCGGCGCAGCTCGGGGAGGGTGAGAATGCCGTAACTCAAGACGTTTCTCATACACTGCTCTGTAACAACTGGACCAGACTGAGCTTTGATTCAGGTTTCACCCGCACACTTGCATCAATAACTGAAGGCTTGAGTTCACAAGGGAGTGAATAGTTTGAACCAGGAAGGGTCGTACAGGGTGACGATCTTTGTGTCTGTTGTACGACATATCCGGCCTGGCACCTTTCGTTGTGCTGTTTTGTTGTGGCATACAATAATTGGAAACCTCCTTTGTCTTTTCAGGGTGTACTCCCTTGTCGACTCCAGCCAGGTGTCAACCTTCCTCATCTCCATCCTCCTCATCGTCTATGGCAGCTTCAGGTAAGCTCTCATCTCTTCTGCTGCAGACCTGGAACCAGTGTTGTGTTGTGTCAAAATCTTGTATTTGTAGATCATGTGAGTGTTTTACATGTACAAACATAATCATGTGGTATTCTGTTATTGTTCTGAGCATTGTTGAATTGAATGTCATAAAATGTGTCGCTAAATATCTCGAGTTATTTAGCTGGCTGGTGTATTAGCTTGTGTTGAAATGTTAAGAATGGCTTATAATTATAAACTAATCAGTAACGTTTAGTTTCCAAATTTATGTAGTCAAGCTACTATTACTGTCAACTGTGCATTTCTAAGAGATAAAAAAGGTAATAATATTAGTATTGCAGCCTGCACTGCAAACTGTGCTGAAGATATGCGTCATCAAAGTCAGCCAACACAAACCTGTTTCATGATTTGAAACAATATGACTCATTAGAACATGATACAAACTAGGAAGTTAATATTTCTGTTAAGATATTTATTTTGTTCAGGAAAAATGACTGGAAAAGTGTAAAGAATTCAAAAAGTGTGAAGTGTTTGCCTTTAAACATTTGAAATGTATCATGATATTTATCGGTATCGACTGATATGAAAAATTATTTATTTTTTTATTTTGGGCCATATCGCCCAGCCTTAATGACTTTTTTTTTTTTCTTGAACATTTTTCTTGAAGGTTTTTTTTTATTATTATTTTTTTTTACGTTTTTCATTCATTTTTTCTTCTGGTATGTAAAAAGACAGATAAAAAAAAAATGTATACCGTTTTATGTGATGTAGCTAATGAAAATATTGTCATGATGGTAAAAACAAATAGGTACTGGCTTGGGTCAGCAAAAAAAGCTAATTTAGCTGGGTCTTGTACAAATATCTATTGAATGAATCAGTGGGCATTGTAGTTTTTCCAGATGATATAGGCCTATATTAATTTGTTGTGACAGAAAATTAATCTTTGAGGTGCAGAAGTGTAATTTGCAGCGTCATACATTTTATTCATTTTGTAGTTGATTGTTTAGCTAATGAAACATTTCCCTTTCCAAATTTGAAGTGGACAAAATCTAATACTCATGGAGTTTGATAGTTAGATGTGGCTAAAACAGTACAACATATCAAAAAGACTGTCCATCACAATCTTTCATTCGCTTTAAATTATATATGCTGTCTGTGACTTGTCAAAACCAATAATATCAAGCGTAAAACTCCTGCATGCTAGTTCTGCCTGCTGTTGGTTCACTGATGGGGGAGAGAAATCGAGGTTTGTGGGTGAACTGTGTCTGTCCACACAGGTCATTAAACATGGACTGTGAGAACCAGGAGAAGGACAAGGATGGAAACCCCACCAACACTGGCTCCTTCAACAATGCCAACTCTAACAACAGTGAGTCCTCAACTAAGCGATTAAAAACAGCTAGAATCTCTACTTCTTCATTAATCACACTAGAAGATATTTTATTTGTTTGTTTCTTTTTGAAAAAATATTCAGTAACTATTTTTCATTGTTTTCTTTTTCTTTTTCTTTTTCTCATTATATGGATAAATTTCCCATTCCCAACTTATGACAGTGTACTTTTTTTATTTTGTTAAAATAATAATAAAATTAATTGCTTAAAATAATATAATACTGCATAATTACAAAAATCTATATTGTGATCCTGTTCCAGTAACAAATGTCAAAGTATGGACTATTATGGACAAATATAAGGCTCCTCTTTTGACCACTATTTTAATTTGTTAGGTTCGTCAGAAGTGGACACAGTAGGGCTGTCAAAAAAAAAATTTGAATTTCGAATATTCGTCAACTCTAACAACAGTGAGTCCTCAACTAAGCGATTAAAAACAGCTAGAATCTCTACTTCTTCATTAATCACACTAGAAACAGATGGTGATGTGCATTCTATGTAGGTTAGTATGCTCTTCTGAACAGAAGCTGAATTATCTCATGCATTTGTACAGGTATTCAGACCATAGATTCCACACAGGCGCTGTTCTTGCCCATCGGAGCCTCAGTGTCTCTGCTCGTCATGTTTTTCTTCTTCGACTCGGTTCAGGTGGTGTTCACCATATGCACTGCAGGTACGTGCCGCACGCAAACACACCAGTGACCTTCCACCGCTCCTTTCTCACACACTGACCTAGTTCATACGCACTGTTATATGCTTTAGTAATATTTATGTAGTTCTTTGTGTTTGTTTTGTTCTGTTTTCACAGTTCTAGCGACCATCGCGTTTGCATTTCTCCTGCTGCCGATGTGCCAGTATCTGACCAGGCCCTGCTCCCCACAGAACAAGTATGAAATGTTTACAAACTCGTCAGGGTGGTTTGTGGTTAACTGCAGTTACCTCAGTTCATATGTCAACAAACAGTGTCTTGCATGAATTCTTACATGACATTCACTTAGGAAACGTTAATTGTGTCCCTCAGTGTATATGAAGTCTAATGATAAATAGCTGATGCCAACATTTTATTATTAAATTGAATTAAAAAAGTTCATTTAAATTTTTTAATTACATTTAAAATAAATGATTAAAAAATTTTTTTTATAATAATTAAAAAAAAATTAAATAATAAATAA